CCCCACTGGGCATAGGCCTACCTCCATGAACTCCGTTCACTTCGGTTTTTCTAGATCTGACACATTCGGTAGGACTCCTTGAGCGAGTGATCAGCTCGTCGCAAGGCCTCTACCTGTAGACAGGCACATAAAAAAACACACAAACATCCATGCCCTTAGTGGGATTCGAACCCACGATCCTGGCTTCCGAGCGAGCGAAGACAGTGCATTCTTTAGACCGCTCGGCTACCGTGACCGGTATGTCCAAGTCAATTACTTTCTATATTTCATCCTTCCTCCTCTAAACCGCATGTCACGATAATTACAACTATTCATATATACTGCACATGGCAATATATATAAGCCCCTGTCAGTCCACAACAGATTCTGCCTTATTTTCATTAGCTCACGCTAGACCGGCAATTTAGTCACCTCAACGATCATAAGCTTCGCCGCCGCAAAATTTAATCCTCTTGTTCTGTCGGGCTTCGCCTTATCCAGTATTCCGACCATTTACATTTTCACGATCTTCTATGGCTTCTGGTTGCTGATCGCTCTACGCCTTGGGATATTTCCGTTGCTGCGGAGAACCTTGATTTCTAAGTACTGCACTTTCGAAACGTGTGTATTTGCCGCAAATCTCAAGGCAAGCATAAGACATTGCAGACATTTCATCTTAGAGCTTAATCGCTCACTTTTCAATGAAGGACTGAAGGCACTGATTCGATCAATTCTGTATCTAATAATCTTACCGAAAAATATACAGATGTTGTACATGACTCACGAAGGGTCTTCTTCGTCCGTTCAGTATGAGATGACACTCAACCGATCTCTCTCTGTTGACATTAAATTTCACTTCTTTTGTTCCAGCGCTCACACTGCGTCTCAATCGCATCCAGACCTCGCTGCAGCGTTCTGAGAACATACCCTTCTTTTCTCTCAGCCGCATATACACGTACATAGGTGCCAGCAGCAAACACACCTAGATATACACTTGTATTTTTGATGGAGGGAGGGGAGGTTCATTTATACATATGCTGTACAATGTGTGGCACTCCTTTTCTCTTGGCGCAAACGTTTTGTCTTCGACCGAAAGTCTGTGCTAACAGGCTTGATTATACTAACGGAAATTTTAATTTGATCTTATACGCACTGTTGTATGGTTCTTGGCAGCAGAGAAAACTCCACTGCGTGTTATAACCTCCCACCTGTACATTTACGGCAATGAAATTCATTATTGCCTACACGTACCGAACTCTACATTGATGGCATACATCAGAACCAAGTTCATTGTGCTGACTCCCTGCAAACAGCTGCTCAGTGCACAAAGAAATTACCATTTCATGGAACCCGCGACCTCACAGCAGTGTTCTCACAGAACTCATTGCCCCTTATTCTCAACTACAAGACTCTTGCGCTAGCTTCCCGGGCCTCGTCATGTGGGATTTGTGGTTGACACAATGTGGCACTTGGACAGATTTTCTCCAAGCACTTCGATTTCTCCTGCCAATATTCGTACCACCAACTGCTCTATAATCACCATCATCTAGGAATGGTACAATAAGCTACAACTAGCCAAAGTACCAATTGGTCTCTCACTCCCATAAAAATGATAATAAAAGAATCCTGTCCACACCCCACCCCCTAGCTCCATTTCTCCCAACATCCATCTAAATATTCTATTTGTATCCCCAACATTCCTTCCATTTATCCTACCAAAATACCCTTTGTATTCCTCTCCAGTGACTGACATGACATTGGTTCTTTACTGTTGTTATCTTCAAGTAATTACATTTCAATCTAGAATTGTGTGGGAAATTGTTTTCTGACACACATAGGTCTTGTTTATGTGTAAGTAAGAATGAAGATGCATTACTTTATAATTGACTTGCCAAGTTCAGGTTATCCACCTCAGTGTGAAACTCTGAGAAGCAGAATCAGTATCAGGATTGAATGTGGGTAGGATTATTTATGTAATTTCTTTACCTACTTCATTTTCGTTACATTGTTATTCACTTTTGTTGCCTGAGATTCAAACAAAGGTGATGATGAATAGTTCTGTCTTCTGGGATATAGCGCTGTGTATTAATATGTGATGCAGATTGTCAGTGGCCAATATTTTGCTTTTCTTTACACGTAAGTCAATTCTGGTTAGAGTATATTTCAATCAACCAATTAAGAACGGCCCAAACGTTAACGAACTTTCACATTCTTTTGTAGATTTCGAGGTTCTCGCAGTTTTGGTCATCAAGATTTCTATATTCTGGGATATAACGTTGTGTGGTAGCTTGTTACCTGCTAAACGCTGGTTTCTTGGTTGGCTTTTTCTTCGACCCTGAAGATGGAGGGGACATTTTCCTCCGAAACGTGAGTTAACTTTCGACGGACTGCGCAGCCTTGTATTCCAGAAGGAAGACCTCTTCTAACAGTCTTTGCGGTCTTTGCGGTCTTTGCTTTGTCTAACCAACAGCCCCACCTCAGTCCATGGTTGCTCGTTATGGTCAGGACACCGTGAACCGGTTGGATATTTCAGTTTTAAACTCTTTATCATGCGTTGGGTAAAACAGCAATCATATTTATTGTCTTTTCTCATAATGATTAAATTCTTCCAAAAAAAAATAACCCTCGGCATAAATGTGCAACCACTAAGAAACGGAAAACTCATTTCGATGAAGCATGGTTACTGAACTGACTGTGCAAGACTCTTTAAATTTGTAGTGACAGTCCAGGAAAAGCTGTGCAGTTGATGGGCATGTCCATTTATGAAAGTTGAAGTGTGTTGTGATTAGTCATTCATCTGTATTTAGTGCGAGCAGACGTTTCAAGTTCAGTCAAAAGCATTCTTTCTTGTACAGTCAAGTTAAAAGGTTTTGACTCTTGGAGTCGTATTTGAGTGTATTATTCTCTATTTACTGTATTAATATTTTATTTTATTGTTTATTTTTTCGTTGATTTTCTTTTTGTTTATTTATATTTGTACATTTTTCTATCTCCTTTAACATGCCACCTACACGAAGTAAATTGAGTGGAAAATTGTCGCATTCACAATCAAGAGAAATTGTTAGTAATGAAGTTAGTAAGTATATGAAAGAGGCTGTGCCAACAATTACAGTGTAGAACACAGGAGTGGAAGTAGCAAAGGCAACAGGTGTATCGGAAAGTAGTATAAGAAAAATAAGAAAAGAAACAAAAAATATCGAATCTGGGGCTTCCACTTCCTTTTCGACACCCCAGAAAGAAAAGCCTAGGAAATCTCCACTAGCCACTTTGTACGATTTTAACGAGTCTGTGGTGCGAAGAACACTTAATGACTTCTACATAGTCGAAAAACGGAGACCTACGCTGAAAAGAAAAAAAGTTCACGAAAAGTTGAAGAAAACGTTAGATTTTCGGGAACGCATCTCAACATTAAAGAAAATTATTTTGAAAGTGGGGTTCCGCTGGAAGGAAACAAAAAATAATCGGCAGAAACTGGTGGAATGATATAATATCAGGGCCAAACGTCTTCAGTATTTGCGGCAAATTAAAGAATATAGGGAAGAGGGCCGCCCAATCATCTACATGGATGAAACCTATATTCATTCATCGCACACCACCCCATATGCATGGAGTGATGGATCCATCCAGGGATTATTTTCCCCTGTGTCCAAAGGCCAACGGCTCATTGTTATCCATGCAGGGGGAGAGCAAGGTTTCATCCCTAATGCCTATGTCCGCTTCAAATCCCACCAAAAAGCAGGAGACTACCAAGTGACATGAACTACACCAATTATGACAAATGGTTAAAGGAGCGACTTATTCCTAACCTTCCCCCAAATTCTGTCCTTGTCATTGATAATGCTCCCTACCATAATGTACAACTAAACAGAGCCCCTAACTCAAATTCAAGAAGAGATTTTATGATATCCTGGCTAAAATATCACCTTCCACCTATTACCTTCAATAACACTGATTTTTCATCATTGCGGAATCCAGACATATATAATATGATTCTACCACTCAAACCGAAATACCTTTCCTATTAAATACCGTATTTACGCATGTATAGGCCGCGTGCGTGTATAGGCCGCAGCACAATTTTCAGACAGAAATTATAGAAAAAAATAATTTTCTTGGAATATTATTTCAGGAGTAGAAATTATTCCGAAATTTGGCAACGTTAATTTTTTTTTAAATGAAGTGTGATTTCGAATATTTCGAATATAAGCCGCACCCCAGTTTTCCTCTTGAATTAAAAAAAAAATGTGCGGCCTATACATGCGTAAATACGGTAGATGGAATCTTTGCAGAACACAATCACAATATTTTACGACTTCCTCCTTATCACCCAGAACTCAACCCAATTGAGTTAATCTGGGCCACGGTAAAAAATTGGGTTGCTCAAAATAATACCACATTTAAGATGGAAGACGTCATAAAACTGGCAGACCAAAAATTGGCTTCCATAACTGCAGAAGAATGGCAACGTAGGTGCCAACATGTAAGGAACACTGAGCAACAGTTAATGGCAGGGGAAGGCCTTTTGGACGCAGGACGGGAGTTCGTCTTCCATGTTGGCGGTGATAATGATGACAGTTCTGATGATAGCTCCGATTCATCTGGTGGTGACGAGGAAGGACATAGCATGTGGAGGTTATACTATGCGGACATTGTCGGTGTTGCCCCTTTAGAATAGACCTGTGTAATATGTAAATAAACTCTTCATGTATACAACAGTGGGAAGTGTATAATAGTGTATAGTATATAATAGTCTGCCATTCGGCACTCAAAACTTGGCATAGGATGTGAGAACATCAACGAGACTAAACCACAAACACCATGCAACTCGAGGTAAGAAGTTATTTCTTTTTGAGAACACCTGTACTGCATTCCCCGCCACACTCGGCATGCTGGCGCTCTCCACGCTCTCCACGCCACTACCAATACTTCTCCTACTCCGCGTCGGAGGACAGTCAGTTCTGGATTCTGGATGGTTCCTGACGTTATAGATGTTCTAGAGTTTCTAGGTATTACAACTGTGTTGTAGGAAGGCTTTTTCTTTGAGTCTACTGTATTGAAAAACATATCAAAAGGGAAAGCCATTTACAGTTTCTCAAATACTCCAAGTGATTGATACGAAAGTACATACTTGTATGCTATTCGTAGTTTACTGAGAATTAAATATCACAAACAAGAGTATTGCCATGTAAGTCGCTCGCTTTCCACCGCGGCGGCCCGGGTTCGATCCCGGGTCTGGTCAAGTTGGATTTGTGGTGGACAAAGTGGTGCTGGGGCAGGTTTCCTTCGAGTACTTCGGTTTTAGCCTGCCAATCTTCATTCCACTAATTGTTGCACAATCACCCTAACCTATCATCGGGCTGGTACAATAGGCGAGAAGCGGCCACAGTACAAGGGACTTAGTCCCATCCCACTAGCAATAAAATAAAAAAGCAATAGTTCCACCCCACTAGCAATAAAAGAAAGTCTGTATGAAATGGTATAGTATGACGTATAACAATTCTGGTATTACTTTCACCTTAAGTTTTGACTTATTAATATATTTCAGATAATTATATGTACCTTTGAAATAATTGAGTTAAATTCATACATATAGAGTGCTGCCTCTCAGTGGAGTTATATAAGTGAACACTTTATGGTGGAAATGGATGCAGGAGTTAAAAGACTTCCAATTGCTGCAGTGGGAGAGAAAATGCCAAATGTTTTGCTAGTTGGTTTGATGATTGCGAAACAGAGCCCTAGAAAAGTAACTTGCAAGTCAGGTAAACACTTCATCATTTTATTTTTGTTAAATCTCACATTCTCGTAACTTGAATTTTCCTCAGGTATGGTGCCCACTAATGATAACATCAGTCTTGATAGTAGTGAGTAATAGTAGTGTACAGGATAGGAACAGAAAGCTGTAAAGAAAATTCATACCATAGTTTTATCATGGAAATATTTAAGAGGGCATGCATTTTCATTTAAAAATATAATAACATTTTAATTATGAAAAGATTTAAGGTAAATATAAAATGCATTTCATCTTACAGTTAGGTAAAAGTTTGAGCTTGGTCTGCACCTCCGTGCAAACAGAATTAGGTGCAGAAAATTATCTCATATTTACTGTGACACAGAATTCAGGCTTGACATTACCAAAATGTTAGTAAATAAAGCTGTTTATAAGCACCTGAGACTGATAAATATAACATGCTTAAGAGACCAGCATATTATGTAATGCCACAGTTTTGAGTGACTCCCAAGTGGGTTTTGGATTGGAGATTAGATTTATTGACCACTTTAACATGACTCATGAATACACATAATTATAATGCCATAACTGATCTCCACACTTTACAAATCACTTCAGTGCCTGCTAAGTCTTTTCAGTGTGCTGTGTTTTCACCACTCACTCCCTGGTTAAAGCTTCTAACATTGGAGATTCTTCCGCTTCTGTGCCAACTGCATCGACTAAGTCTTCACAGACTCCCTTACAATTCTCATTGCTTCAGCTGACTAACTCCCAGGTTGGCAGCCATTTCACACCAATCTCCTAGTCATGTCTTCACAGCTGACTTTCAACTGACTGCTGACTTGAGTCAAAGTCTGAGTCTGAGTCTGAGTCTTATGTTATGACCAAAAGTCAGTCAGCGAGTCTGTCTTGGAATAAAGCACTCATCTAGGGCTAATGACCGGATTTTTAGTACTGTCAGACAGTTACAGGTTTGTTGATGTGGGGCACTCTCTCTGATGAAAAGACGGGTGTGTTGTTTACAATTGCTTATGGTCCTCACCAGCATAGTCATTCTCAGGTCTAAGTCCAATGGGACTAGTGACCATATTTTACTGTCTCCGATTCGAGACTTCCCTTTTTGTCGTCTCCTACGACTCACAGGGCTATGGTGGAGGTATTCAACGCCCCACTGATGTGCTTGTTATATCACCCCTTGGCATAGAACGCATAGAAAACGCCATTTCCAGCAGTGCCTCTGTTGTTGCTTGTTGATTAATTGCCATGGGAACCTGTTTATATCCAATCGTTACCTAGTAACAGGTCTACATGCTACAATAAGCTGAGCTATTTTTGATCTATGGAGTGAGCCTGGGAAAGATGTATTTGATGAACTATGACGTGCAGTTAAGTTTAGAGAATGAGGAGCAACTTATGGTATTACCTGAAAAGAAATGTTTCGCAGTGCTCTTTTAGTAGAACATTGGTGTGTTTTTGTCATGAAAAATGACATAAAACACAAAGAATCATTTAAAATTACATGCATGGTTTCTAATAACATGGATGACTGTAAAGAAAGCTTGAGATAATTTATTTTGGAAAGTAGGCCAGTACCCATTATAAGGCAGCAGTTGAAGTAAGATGAAATGGCACTGGTCACACTTTAGTATGTGACCAACATTATAAAAGCAGTGAATTGGGGTGTAATGTGCACTTCACTGATGTTAATGTATAAGGAAAAACTTTGAACTACCATTATATTAAAATTAGCAGGTTGGAATTACACCTACTGAAATTATGTTACATATGCGAAACAGAATTCCACAGTAGGTCAGGTGCTGATTGAATATAAATTCAGGAGTGTTATATTTTAGCATCCTGTTGCACTGATTTAAGTTCATGATTTGTTTATTCCGTCTTGCAGTGCATACACTTGTCTATCTTCTTCTCTCACTCTCACTACATGTTTCGGCATAAGGATGCCATCTTCAGGTGCTACTCAATTCACGTCAAACTAGTANCTGGACTTAAATTCAGGAGAATATGTATAAAGTCTGAAGTGCCTGTATGGAGGCGGGGTCGAATACCTCCACCATGACCCTGCGAGTCGTAGGAGGCGACGAAAAGGGAAGTCTCAAATCTGAGACAGTAATATATGGTCGCAAGTACCAAGGGACTTGGATCTGAGAAAGACTGCGCTGGTAAGGGCCAGCAGCATATACAAAAGACAGACCTGTCCTCTCGTCACAGAGGGTGCCCCACAAAAACAAGACCGTAACTGTCAAAGAGTAATAAATATATGGTCATGAGCCCCAGATAGGCCTTGACACCCAGACTTACGGCTGACTGACCGTCAGTCGCAATGTCACTTTGACTTTGACCTTGACTAAAGTCTGAAGCACATGGAGAACATTTAGAAATTTCCTCAACAACACTACTATTGAAAACCTGGTTTCATATCAGTGATTTGTGTATCTGGAGATGTCGTAAGACTGTATGATCACAGATTCAGGAGCAATGTATATAAGGTAATGTTTAAGTGTTGAATTCTTTTTTTAGATTGAATTGAGAAGAAAAATATCTCAATTTGAACATTGATTTCTCAGCCTCAGACTTCAAGTATTTTAAGAGAACTGCTTCTTGCACAGTAGCATGCAGTTACTCAATCCTACAGAATTGTAATGGTTTGTGATGCTAGCGCAAATACCTCTTTCACTCTTTTTCCTGACAATAGATATTTTTCTACTTCTGTATGAAATGTCAGCATCTGATGTCAAAGGAGATGGCAGTACACATTTGTGCACTATGAGAAAGTAGCTGCTGCTGTAAATTATAACAACAGTGAAAAATTCTTCTAGCAGAGAAAATTCTCATCTCAATTCTCAAACATTTATTAAATTCTCATCTGAAACTGAAAAAAATCATTCTCACACATGTCTAATTTCTATGCATATATGTATGTGTGTATATGGCTGTACTGATATATATATTTATACTTCTTACATTTATATATTTCATCATTCCACACTTACACTTGTTACTGTAAGGATACATTTATGTGCATTTATTGTGATATATGTAAGAGACTGTGTTGTAATAAAGTAAGAGTACATCGTAACACTGCTTTTTACTTAAAGGAAATCCTCAGATTTGTGTGTTGTCATACTTTATTGAGATTTTTGGATTTGAGGTTCTCACAATGATAATCTTCTGGGTTGTGCTGCTATTGAACTACATACCAAGCCAGTCAGCATTACAACCCAGAAGATCATACTCCCTTTATTCAGGTCTGTTTTGCTGTATGGACTGTATTATTGGTTTTTTTCATTGAATTACACAAATAATGATTGCCATGTAGATAATGGATAATTTCTTGATTTCTGAAGGTTCTTCAAGTTCTGAGAGGTCAGTTTGGAATTTTACATTGCGGGACTCACCATATGATTTGATTAATGCCACATTCTGGGGCTCTCCTGAATATATACAGAATGTCTCTGACAAGTTTCATACTGGTGATGTTGGTAAGTACTCCAAGCATGACTCACTAATGGAATGCCTATTTTGCTTCAGGCCAGTGATGTATGGCTTGCTGAAGGTTCATTCATTCATTCATTCATTCATTTATTCAGCATTCCATAAATCATTACATGGTTAAACACCAATGGATATAGAAATAGTCAACATGAGTAAACATCACATACTGCATCACAATTATGTAGTGTCATACCAGTTAAAAATATTAACAATATACAACATGAAAAAAACCATCATCTATAACAATAAGGTGCTATCAACTACCACCCGTAACAAATCCAAAACTTTAATTGTTGTCACAGTTAAAATATTCGTCCAATGAATAAAATGAATTTAAAAATGGGAATCTTTTAACAGCAGACCTAAATTTTTTAATCTCATGAGCTTGGTCTTTTATATTAGGCGGAAGTTTATTAAAAACTTTAATTCCAAAATAATATGTTCCCTTTTGGAAGACAGTTAAGTTACATGAGGGATAATGGAGGTTATTACTATGTCTTGTGTTGATTGTATGAATCTCAGAATTAGATAAAAATAGATCTTTGTTTTTGACCACAAATAACAAAATGGAAAAAATGTACTGAGTAAAGGGGCAGAATCTTTAATCTCTTAAACAACTCCCTACAAGAATCTCTACTTCTAGAATTGGTGATGTAGTAGGTAGTTTCCACAGCCATATCACTCGCATGTCTCATAAGAGAAATTACAGGGAACAGCAGGAAGATAGTTGTTGGAGCTTGTGCATGGGCATTCTTTACCCTAAAGTAAAATTCCCTATATCTCTTAGCAGTAGTTTATTGTGCCCAGAAATGTACAGAATATAAGGTTTTGTATTAAGCTTTGTAACATTGTTTCAGAGAACTTGAGCATGTTTTATTTATGGATTCCGGGGGAGATTCAAATTCTATGTGATAAATATATGATTAATTATGTATTATATGCACTCTGGAAAATATTTGAATGCCTTCCCAACATTCTTGAGCCTGCCATAATACATGTAAATTACACTTTCATACTAGGCAACAGTTGAAGTTTGTGTGAAATTGGTATATTTCTAATTAATTTCCGTTCTTAAAGTTACAATGATAATAATGATGGTTTTCTTTTCAGTGGAAATTTCGAAACCCAAAATTACTCTTCGTCACAGTGATGGGCAAGAAGACAGATTTTCTCCATCTGTTACAAGGTCAGTAAACTTCAAACACTTTTGCAGTTACATGCTAGAAAGTTTCAAGCTTCTCTAGATTATGGATGACAGGTATACAAAGGGGGACCCAAAAATAACCGGAACCGACCTGTTGCGCGCGCATGCTTTGTAGTTACGAGTTGTGCTGCTAGGTGGTGTTAGCTGGGGGTCTCCCGCGACTGTTAGTGAGCTGGCGTCAGTCTGAGTTAAGTGGTTTGTCTGTGGTGCTCTGTTGTGTGCGTTCCTGTTTNTTGCTTCACCACGACAATGCTCCAGCCCGTCTCATGTGCAAACCTTCGGTTAAAATTCGCTGGACCCAATTCGCTCCATGAGATGTTCGTTTCCTCAGAAAGTTGGTCAGTGGTCTTTCGACGATCTTCATTAATTGCACGTTTGATTTTGGCAATGTTTTCGTCATTTCTTCCTGTCGAAGGACGCCCCGGGCGTGGCATGTCTTCTGTTGACATGTTGCCAGATTTGAAACAGGAAAACCACTCGTAGACCTGTGATTTCCCCAAAGCATCATCATTAAAGGCTTGCCGAAGCATCCCAACAGTCTCGGCTGCAGTTTTCCCTAACAGAAAGCAAAATTTCACGCACACTCTTTGTTCCTTCTGGTCGGCCATCTCACTAATCGCCAAAGGGTTGAAACAGGAACGCACACAACAGAGCACCACAGACAAACCACTTAACTCAGACTGACGCCAGCTCACTAACAGTCGCGGGAGACCCCCAGCTAACACCACCTAGCAGCACAACTCGTAACTACAAAGCATGCGCGCGCAACAGGTCGGTTCCGGTTCTTTTTGGGTCCCCCCCTCATATATAAATCCAATGCTCTTTTCATCTGGTATTTTCTGGCACATATCACTTGGTAGATCAAGCATAGAAAATTGCTAAAATTGCTCATAAATGGAGTGTAGAATGGATTGAATTGTCTTATGACAGAGACAAGTAGCAGGCATTGCTGTGAATGCATGAGACTTGGGTTCCATATGAATTCCTTAATTAGCTAAACAACAGTTACCTTTCACATAACTGCCCTGCTCCATGGAGTTGGTTACTTAGTTACATATGTATGGGTTTATTAAGGTGTGCATATATTTTTGTGATTGTACTTGCTCATTAGAAAGATTAATAAAAATACTGTTTCGTTAACAATTTTGACCATTTAGAACACAGTAGTTTGTATATTTACCACCTACTTTAACACAGTAAAGTTCTGCATTCTTCCCACAGAATGTACTTTTGAGTTTGTTTCGCCAGACAGAAGTAAACATTTGATATTTGTAGCAGAGATGTAATGTACTTCTTGTGAGGTATGAAGTGACTGGATTTGTGTGGATCTAGACAAGGAATATTGGCAGGATTTTGTGAAGTTGATGAGGAACCTTCAGGTTATAGAATTCTGTGAATTTCATGAGTGCATAAGCCACTGTTGACTTCTTGGGAAGGATTCTACTCCGTGGAGTAGTTTCAGTCAGATTATTGGACCATACCATCCCATTCTGATATATAAGTACTGTATTGTGGCATATTCATGCATTGCTGCATTCTGTATGAATTTTTATTTTATTTGCTTGAAATTGTGCCCACAGTACACTACACTGCAACACTTTCTTTGCTGGTGTTTATTAATATATTTCCATATCAACATGTAATGTGTATTGAAGAAAATCTATAAAAGTGGTTTAAGGATTGTGAGATTCTAAAGAGGTTTCTTTCATTGATCTTGTGAGACACAAAATAAATTCAGATTGGCATGGCCATTGTGTCTGACTGATGTATGTACTGTATCTTGTCTGTAGCATGAGAATGCTTGATAACATAAGATGTAAACCAAGTGTTTCTTTGTACAGCCCATTCCAACTGATTTTGTCAGAAAAAGAGTCTGTCATGGTTCCTCATGATATGGAATACTGTGATGAGTTCCTTCCTCTCCTGCATCTTCCTACCAAGCCACCTGGTGACTTCTTCACACTAGCTGATGTGTACCATAATGGAACCAGCATACGTGGTGAATTTGTCAATCTGCTGGTTGCTGTTCGTGATGTGGGTATTGTTATTTGGTCTAAAGCAATGGTTCCCAATTTGTATCTCATTTGGTCAAACCTCTGACTTCATGTATAATGGCTGATCCTTCTTTTCTTGGACATAATGTGATGCCATCCTTTCCAGAATAATATTTTTTCACTCCACATTTATTCAAGGATTGAAAATTGGAAGAGAAATGAACGAAAATTACTTTTATTTTCACTTGATTATAAACAGTTTGATGTGAATTCAACATTTGGATGTTTACACTGTGCAGAGTGTTGCTGAAGGTTCAGCGGTATGTGCTACCACCAGCTGCAGGGTCAAAATATCTTCTGCTTTTACACATCAGCAACACTGTCCACATAGTGTAAATACGCAAGAGCTGGACTGACATCAACAGTTAACTACCATGAAAGCCTGAAATGAATAAATAAGCAGTTTTCTTACTCCCAAAACACTGAACAGGTGCAAGAAGGAAGAATATCCTACAATCTAAACATTAAGGCTATAGATGTGTGCTGTGTGTTTTTGTGACACAGCCCATTTACCTTATTTAATACGACTTTCAGTTGAGAAGAATCTTCAACACACCCAACAGTGGTTGTCTGTAAATTCATGTAATATAAGCAATAGCTTAGTATAACAACAGACTACAAGCTGATGGATGACAAATTTGGTTTCAATTCCCAGCAGAGTTAAGAGATTTTTCTGCCCTTCACAGAGTCAAGACTGGTTTTGGGGCCAACCCAGTCTTCTATCTACTAGGGACTTTTTCTCCAGGGGTAAAGCAACAGGAGTGTAAAGTTGACCATTCACCTCCATCTAGTGCCAAGATCAAGAATGATGGAACTCCCCATGTGTCTTTATTGCATGATGCTTAATTATTTAAGCACAGGGAAAACTCCATCCTTACCTTTATAATCTACCACATCAGTTATCCACAAAAATATTTTTTATCACTAACATATACCTCTGAAGCTGTGCTGGAGATGTGTATGCTTGGAAGTTTAACTGAAAATAAGCATATTCACACACACTTGCAGGTTCTAATTACATTCCCAGTTCAGTGTGTTTATGTATGCATGGGCTCATTGTTGATACTGAACACACCACATTTCACTGGTGATCTTTTTTGGTCATACCATGTTTTCTGGTCGCCCTAATGAGTTATGTTGGTGCCACTGGGATCAGACACCTGGTTGGGAATTGCTAGTTTAAACAGCATTCGCAGTGGAGGGAAATGTAATGATGCATTGTAATTGTGATCAAATTAACTGGATGTACTTTTCTTTCTCTCCAATTGGTTTGTTGAGGGCTTGGGAGAGCACATTAAGAAATGCAGGATTTGCAGGGAAAAAGAATTCAATGAACACTTTCATTTAACTTAAATAATTTGCAGAAAATAGTTAGGAAATATGCAAGAGAAAAGTAAAATATAAAAATAAGTATGCATAATATGAATTATATGGTAATGTGCTTTGAATTACTGTTGGCCTGTTTTGAGACTCGTTATGTATGTACTATCTTTTATTTCTGAGATAGCATTTAATTTTGAAGAAAGCAATCTTCTGGGATATGGCGCCGTGTAGATATTGTGTTAACCGATGTTTCGGAGAAACATATCCCCTCCATCTTCAGGGTTCATGCTGGTTCTTTGCTTGTGGATTTTCTTCTTTTCTCTTCTATCCTGAAGATGGAAGCGATACGTTCCTTCGAAACATCGGTTAACACAATATCTACATGGCGCCATATCCCAGAAGACTGCTTTCTTCATAGTCACCGCCATGAAAACCTCAAATCTTACACAGCATTTAATTTTGTTGTCAGAAAAGTGAGGACAGATTCTCTTATAACATATGGTTTTTAAAGAATGTGTATGCTTTAGTAATAACTTGAAACTTGGAGACTAGATAATATATATTTATGTTCTTTAATTATAAAGTAAAAAAAAGTAAAGTTATCCCCGTAACAGGCCGTGGAGGCCCATATGATTGTGAGGTGTTGAGGTTCCCACATTTTCTAGACAACCGGCTCATAGATGGTGGCAAGGTTGTCAGCCCTACGCACCAGCCGCCCTTTACCCCCAAGAATATTCCAAACATATTCCTGGTACTCATTTCTGTTAGAGGCTGAGTTGACCCCAGGGCCATAGTGTGGCCGGAAGGATTAGGTCAATGAAAAAATCCAATTACCTTATCTGGACTTGAACCCACGACCTTCCAGCTTGTAGCATAGTGCCTCAAACCAACTACACTACCACTTGTGAATTTTCATGCATTGTTTTATATGTGTAAGCATGCTTTAATGTTTATCTTCTGTTTATGGTTATGGCTGCACATTGTTATGCTTTCTTGACTTGTAGATTGGACCCATAAGGCGCATCCATACAAAGTACGGTCGTGATATAGATTGTCGAGATGTTATTGTGTTTGACCAGACTAATACAGGATTACCTGTTTCACTGTGGAACACTGAAACTGTACACCGTGCAAAAAGTTGGAGGCCTCGTGAAAGTGGTACAGATTTACTTTTTCTAGTTTGCATGACTTGCTTGTTAAAACTATAAATGATGGTGTTAGTCAAAGCTGAAGATTAGTATAGTTAAATGTACTTCAAAATATTTCCTCAAATATGAGATAATGTGGGTCCTGTTTCTGGCTGTTAACACCAGGCAGAAATAAGCTGTATTGTTGATGTTTTGGACATCCTTATTATGCCCATTTTCAAGGTAAAGTAATTACCCAGTGGATGCTGCTGGTTTAATTTTGTTTGTTGGGTAATATTGAAGGGAAAATGAGATGGAAAAATATGTCTTGGCAGGGCTATTCTCATTCTTGAGGTGACTGTGTAGGACATCAGGAACAGTGGAAAGTCTATGTGGAAGGCGCAGCATGGGGAAAATTTGAATGGGAAAGAGAAAAGGAGAAAATGGTGTTTTTTTTTTTCAGATGACCTAGAAAGGGAGCGTGGGGGGTCAAATTTGAGTGGGAAAGAGAAAAGGAGAAAATGGTGTTTTTTTTTTCAGATGACCTAGAAAGGGAGCGTGGGGTGTCGTTATATAAAGAGACAACCACTTGTTGAACTGCTCTATAATATTAATTATAGTTGCACAGTATACACAGACGAACTTGAGTTTGAAGAATTGAAGACTAATAGTATAGTACCAACAATATGACTGCTCACAACACCCACACCACTCTCCCTCCTCTTAATAGAGAGAGAGAGTTACTTTATGACTGGCAGTTTACCGCCAAGCAGTTCGTCTTGGCGTCAGGCCCCTTGAGGCCCATGACCAGATCCTCTTAATAGAGAGAGAGAGAGTTACTTTACGACTGGCGGTTTACCGCCAATCAGTTCGTCTTGGCGTCAGGCCCCTTGAGGCAGTAACAAAATTGTGCAGATGACAAGCAGAAGTCATACAAAATCATGATAATGAACATGTTCGCAGTATAGGACAAGGTGAAGCCAGACACAGAAAATATAAGAGGCTTAAACTTGGCGGTGATCAAGCTTATGACTGTTCAAATGACTAAGTTTTCATTGTAGCATAAACTGGTCCATTTGGCACGGCAGCCACTGATTGGCCTGTTGCACCTTCTCCGGGTGATTATCATGATGGAGAATTTGGTGGAATGAAGATTGGCAAGGGAAACCGAAGTACCTGGAGAAACCTATCCCAGCACCACATTGTCCACCACAAATCCCACTTGATCAGACCCAGGTTTGAACCCAGGCAGCCATGGTGGGAAGCCAGCGACTAACCACTTGAGCTGTGGTGTGGCCTGTTTACTCCCTTTGCCTAGCAACAGCTTTGCTTAGCAATGGCTATTTACTCGCCATTGCTAAGCAATGATACTTGTGTTGTCAGTGTAACGTTTACTTGAATGAGGGCAGTTCCCACAGGAGGGAAGAAGTCAAGAAGTAGAACAGATGCATTAGGCAATGAAGTAGAACCTATAGGTCGAGTAATGTCCTCTCTGCTTTGTCAGAATATGTACAGAGGTCTTCTTTGCTGGACTGAGCTGGTTGAAGTTCTGATATAGGTTGTCTTCAGTGACTGCGTATGTGACTGTTGGTACAGTGAGGTTGTTTCAAACATCTTGTGATTGGTATAACCCTACCTTTTCTTCAAAAAGTACATTTTGTGGGTAATCGTCAGGTTAAGTTTGCCTCAGTCCTAAGACATAACAGTGAACCAGCAATTGTGCTTCTTTGACAAATTTTCCAGTAGGTATTCCACTTCATACTGGCTGAAAAAAAATATTTGTTATCATGCAAAAAGATACCATTTGGGATGGTCACACAACAAATAATCAGAAAGAAACATAATAGACACTACTGTATCAACATTTGTTTTTATTCATTGTTGGTGGTATCACTACATGTTTGACCCTTTCCCTGGGTCATCTTCAGGCATACATGAATACTGTTTAGCTTCTGAATGGCATCATTAATCAATATGAATTCATATTGTGTCTGTATGCTTATTCTGTACTGACAATTATATCTTAATTTTAAAATGTGGTTCAAATATAGTTAAAACTAGACCTTAAACTTGATATTAAATGGATACAAATTAAAATTAAAATTATAATTTTAAGTTGCTATTAAAAGCATTTATAGCCAGTATTACAAATTCTATTTAAGCTTTGTGTCTGGTACATATTGTATGTGTATTGTTTGTTGTTCCACTGTGATAATGATATTGTGCTGTGGGGCGACTGCTTGCTGGGATTTTTCTTCAGAATATAGGTCGTGTTGGTTTTTACCTCCCTATTAAATGTGTGAAGGCCGAACATGTTTTTTGGGGTATCCCACTCGGGTTGTTTATACTAGGACTGGGGTGTTCGAATTTGATATTATGTATGCACGCAGATCCCCGTCGTGAATGTTATTGTTGTTCTGTAGCTGTTTTTTCTGCACTGCTTGTTAAGACATGTATATATATATATATATTCTCACAGTTGTAAAATTGTATCTTCTCAGTCCTGTTCCTCGCTGATATGCGTCTGGAGTGGAATGCATTTCGTCGTGGGATGGTGGCATCAGACGGACCCCGTTCTATTGTGACTGAAGACCCTGAAACCCCTGAGGCAGCAGCTCTGAGGATGTATGCTCGTAGTGCTCCACTCAGAGCCAGTGCTATTCTAGCTCAGCTTGCAAGCTCCATTCCAGATCGTAAGTTCACTGAGAGGGAGCTTATACAAATTTTGAGGTTTTCATGGTAGTTCTTGTTTGTATTGTGGTCCTCTGTGTTGTGACTCTATATAATCTTGTAGGCATCCCTTTTGAGGCACACAGTAATGTTTCCTCCTGTCACTGACTCCATATAATCTTGTAGGCATCCCTTTTCAGGCACACAGCAATGTTTCCTCCTGTCACAGAGAATGATATTGTGTCTCTTAAAAGGGTCAACTTTTACATTTTCCTCTTCTGTGAAAATCGCATGGTCCTGAAAAGGGCCATTTTCCTCTGTACTCTTCACTTTTGCCCAGCTCCTTTTCCTTGTTCCCTGCTGTGGGTCTCACTGATCACAGCACTTGCAGGCTGCCTATGTAAATGAACCAGTTTCTTACCGTAGAGACTTCAAACCTGAAAATGGAGAGAGTATGTTCCCCCAAAACATAAGCATCTGCTTACAAGACTACCTTGTATCACAGTCAAGATGACTACAATCTAAGTATTTATTTATTTCATTTATAGTTATAGAATGATACTGTCAAATTCAGACTATATAATGTCAGTGCATGATTAATGAGTGACAAATTAGAAAGGAAACAGGAAACAGTTGTGATATATTTTAGTATATCATCCTTGCATTCACCTGGAGAGACTGGGGGAGAACCATGAAAAACCTCAAGTCCGGACAGTCATCTGAATTGCGCACCCCCGAGTATAATTTAGAAGCATTGCAATGTATACCAGCTTGTGCTTACACAAGAGGATGACAGTCACACATTACTGACACATGCTTCATCTGGTTTCTACAGCGAGCTCAATCACTAATGTGATGACAGTGCAGCAGGTTCTGGACCGAGCATCAGCAGGCAGTGCAGACAATTCTGGTGGTGATGATTCACAGTTCACTGCACTTCTCTACTGTCTTCTAACAAAATATGATCTGGATGGCTGTTCCCAACTCACCATCACAAAGTGGTAATGTTCTTCATTTTCACAGGACCAGCAAACTGACTACTGAATAACTTTTAGCAAGGTCCAGCAGGTAGTGCATATTTCTTTTAAGTGTCTCCTGCTTTGCTTACCTTTCTGTAGGGCGCCCTTCTTGGAAAGGACACCAATTATCCTGATGTTCTTTTGTGATATTCTTTAGCCTGTCAAGTAAATTATCATTCCAGATCCATTTATTACTAACATAAACCTATCTCAGCACATTTTTCATTTTCCTGATATTCATATATGAAAATAAGCATTTGTTAAGTTTGTTTACTTTCAGTGCTCAGTGTCAGATGCCAGTACAGGATATGTGCATTAATCTGGAGTGCCCTATTGGCTGTGGAGCAGAATTACCAAGATATGATGTGGCCTTTGATCTTCGTATCAAATTGTCTGACCATACTGGCTCTCTTGAAAACATTCGTCTTTCTGGAGTTGCAGCAGAACGTGTGATTGGATGTAAAGTAAGGAAAAATTGTAGTGTAAAAATAATACTAGTAATCTTATTTATGTTTTTATATACATAATTAAAATAGCAAGCTCTATTATCATTTATGAAGAAGTAAGAGGAAGTTAAATTGATAATGTGTTTGCTATCATTCAGTTCAGTATCTCTTGTCTTCCCATATTATCCAAACATATGAAGATTAAATGCACAAAACTGCAATTTTACGTTTTGTATGAATGTGTAACATGGTCCCTTACTCTAAGGCATGAGGCCACTTCAGAAGAAGGTGCTGAGGAAAATATTTTGATCAAAAAGAGAAGAAGAAACAAGAGAGGAGAGAAAACTGCGTAATGAGGAACTCCATAGTTTGTACTGTTTATGAAGCACAGTGGAGTTGCATCTCAGTGCAGGGGCTATGTTCTAAAAACAGCACATGAACTGAGAATCGCATGTATTCAAAATTACCCTCGAAAATCCCTTAAATTTTCCATAAAGTACATGCTTTTATGTATGTATATACTATATAATAAAGTGCATATACAAGTAAAATGTACAGTAATTCAACTTTTTTAAAGCTATCTCTGTAACAGGCCATGAAGGCCCAAAGGGTTGCGAGACATCAAGGCTCCCACATTTTCTCTAGACAGTCGGCTCACAGTTGGCGGTAAGGTTGTCAGCCTTATGTGCTGGCTGCCCTTTACCCCTCAGGAAGATTCCTGGTACTCATTTCTGTTAGAGGCTGAGTCAAACCCAGGGCCATAGTGCAGCTGGAAGGGTTAGGTCAATTGAAAAATTGTGCCTCATCGGAACTTGAACCCACTTACTTCCAGTTGCAGCATAGTGCCTCAACCAGCCACACTACCACATGCCAAATTTAATTTTAATTACATAGAAAATAAAGGGAGAGAATTAAAGAATGGGAATTGAAAACAGTAAACCTGAACACTCACCATTCATCCTGCATGTTCCTGATCATTGGTCTTGTTCCTACCCCCAACAACATGGTGGGGGGTGCATGTTGTTTTGAATTCTTGTAAGTTAGAGTCATATATGATGCAACTTCACTGTATTAGAATGTGTAAATTAAGGTAGTCAGTAAAGTGATCTCTTTGTAATTTTAAGGTTTCATGGTGAATGAATGCACTAAAATCTTGGGCGATCAGGAATGTCACTGTTGGATTAAAGACCACTGTTTCAGAGACCTTCTTTGTCTCCATCATCAGGGTCGATATGGGAGAATATCCATACATTGCTGATAACTGAGCTATGTTTTCTCTTCGGATGGCTCAGGAGTAGTGCCTTCTGACTGGGTATCTTCCCCTTCTTCTTGCCCCCCCCCATTTCCCTGAGGCGTCTGTGGCATGAATCATGTACTGTTGTCCCATCATGTGATTTCCCCTTCCTCCCATGTTTAGAGATGAACAACTTCAGTGTGGGTGGAAATAAGAGAGTAGTCTTTGCTTACCATCGGTCAGTGAAGTGGTCTCTCCAAATTGTGTTTCTATTCTTTGCTCCAGTCATTAAAGGCAAAGGGCCTCCTAGGTGCAACATTTTGGATAGTGTGACGAGGTTTTCTGTTTTGTAATAAACTATTCTTTGTTTGTGTGTGCTACTGCCCCATTTAGTGTTACTGTTAGACCATATAATGGGGTAACATTGCAATCTGGTTTGTCTCACTGTTACCTGTGTTAAGGTGATTTCTTAGGTCTGGGGTAGGCAGGCGGCTCCAAGTGATTGCATTATTTGTTTTTTTTTGTCTGGACCGACCAAGGTGGTCGAGGTCATAGTTTCGCAGCTGTTGCAAATGCATATTTATATTACTGAAGAGATGGTCAGAGTCACTTTTTGTTGTTGTTGAATGTCATTAATTGTTATTAAATACTTGTTATTTTGAGATTCCACATTTTCTTGCTGAAGGCTTAAGCTTGTACACCCCAACCCATCTGGGGAGCATTGTGTACATGACACTGGAACCAGGGATGAATGCAGCTACCATCCCCAAGTAGAGAGCAGGTTGAAGAGGGGAGGAGCTGCTAATAACAAATGATCTGCTACTGTACATCTTGGTATAATAGATGTGCCTGTACTGTGCACGAAAAATATAAATTTGTTATTGTCATTCACATATGCACTGTCATTTTCCTGTTATCTGCTTAAGATTCTCTGTCACTTTTCAGGTTAATGAATTCATGGCCATGCCTCTTGACATGAAGACCCATCTAAAATGGAAACTGCTGCTTGAGCGTTGCGCTGCTAGGATCTTGGTGTTACGATCATCATCAGACCGTCCCCGTCCTCTTATATCCTTGCTCTCCTGCACCATGGCAGATCCTTCAGAGGCAGCTGCTTGCATTCCGGTTTACTGACTTCAGTTCAGTTCACCATTCAATGTAGTTTATTCTGTTTAATATTAACAAGATAGTTACTGCTTCTGGAGTTCAGAATTCCATTTCTAAGAATGAGAAATTCAATTTAAGTTTGAGAATGTTGTAATATATTATTTCAGAATAGTTACTTGATACTGTTATTAATTGGAGTTCATATCAAGATGAAGATACACACACCACAAATAAATGTCTGGATTATATCTCATAGTTATAAAACAGCTAAGTATTTACTTTACTTTACTTTGTGAACTTGTGAATTTCTGCTGTACTGAAAAAGTCACAATATGTACACTAACCTACATGTAGAGACCTATCAGGTTTTTATTATATGTGAAGAGTAAGTTTGTTACGACAATAAAATGTAATCTTTCACATTTGTATAATGTATTTATGATACATGTTGTAAGTTGCCTGTTGTTACTGGCATCTTTCTCTAAACTTTCCAGTGTCAGCAAAATATGTTTTTCATAATCAAAATTATGCAAACATTGGAAAATTATAAGAGCACTAAAATATGAGAATCGAGTGGGATATTATGGAAGTTCTCCCTACACAACTACAACATATATTATATATATATATTTTTTTTTTGCTAAATGTTTCAACCACAGAGGCCATCAGGCATTTGGTGCAGTCATTGTGCTTGCTAGGAATATGAACACTCGCCACGTGTACATGTAAATTCCTGCTAAAATATGTTGCCTGGATTAGTTAAAAATCAGGTGAGAGAGATAGGTATTGAACAGGATTAGGATATATAAACTTGTGAGGTTAGGGGGCACATGGTAGTGTAGTTGATTGAGGCACTATGCTACAAGCTGGAAGGTTGCGGGTTTGAGTCCCCTTGAGGTGTATTTTTTTCAAGTGATCTAATCCTTCCAGCCATGCTATGGCCCAGGGGGTCTAACAGAAATGAGTACCAGGAATCTTCCTGGGGGGTAAAGGACAGCTGGTGCATAAGGCTGACAACCTCACTGGCATCTGTGAGCCAATTGTCTAGAGAAAATGTGGGAGCCTCTCCATGGCTTTTTAGTCCACAAGCGAACTATACTGAC